ATTTTAAATTTTAAATTTGAACTGAACTGACCTGATCTCCAATTAGCCATTAGCAAGATTGCTCACGCATGGGGGCGAAGCGGGGCGTCTTCGTTGTGTTCGAAGGCACCGATAAGGGAGGCAAAAAGACTCAGTCTAAGCTCCTCGCCGATGCGTTGACACAAATTAGCGGCAAGGAGACGTTATACATCCACTTCCCAGATAAATCCACACCCACTGGTCAGATTATTTCACGATATCACGCCGGTGAAATTGATCTTGCCCCGCGTGCAGCTCATCTGTTGTACACTGCTAATAGGTGCGTTTCCTATTTGAAGTTTGTAGCATCATCATCGAATTTATGTGATTCAACGGATATGTCTAAGGATAGCCGTTGATCTTCGCTTATATGTAATTGTATAAATACGTACATAACGTAATAGATAATGGTCGATTGTGGTTTACCATCCTCAGCAAAAAATACTTAAGCCAGGTCAATTTCCTCATTTTAATCTGCATCAAAGTTAACTTCGGTCAATGGATCCATGATGTCAGTCGATTGAATTTGCACTTAACATGAACATAACCATGCTTATTTAAATTTCCCATATCCGGACAGGTTAGAGCTTTTGAACTCCATCATGCGCAAATTTTGGGACTTCCAAGTGCCTCATCGGATCAGCGCATCTCCATGTTTTTTACTAAAGAGCAATGTGTGATGAGCAGCAGTCGGGGCGGACCCCATAGTCACGAAGACCTTTAGGGACTCGATGGTTGCTGATTTTCGTCAGAACCTGTCACTAATGTTTACTCACGTCCGTTTTGAATATTCGTCCCAAATGGAAACAGAACCAGAGATTGCGTTTATTGAAAACAATATATTCTGAGATCTTCAGAAAGGTTGGAAGTAGATTTGGCTAGGCCTAGGCTGATATTTAAGCAACGGCAGCGGAAACCTGAAAGTAGATCTGGTCAATGCAACTAAAGCGTGCGATACAGAGCTCACCGTGGGGAATTGTGTCGGTGCACGCTTTTCGAGTTCATTAAAAGAACGCTAATAGTTGAAGTAAAACTTAATCCTGGAAATGTCCAAGTTGCTTTATCCAATAGAGGAACTTTCCTCAGAGTATAGCTATCGCCAACTAATGGCGATGACTGCTAAATCTCGACGGTACACTTGATTGTGTCCGGTGGATAAGGGTCCTTAAAGGAAGAAGGGAAAAACCTGACGGTATTTTAACTACCTGATCGATAACTCAGTCGCTACTTGATTTCTGAACCTTAATGGTTCTGATAGGTACTCCATGGTTATGTACCATGCCTTGATAGTCCTCAATTATACAGGACTGGTTAGAAACTGAACGTATCCTGCTGTTAGTCACCAGCGTAGGGTAAAAGTACTTCTGGTACGTGATTTGATGATCACGTCCAGCTTGAATGGATCTATCAAGAAGCTTAGAGAAAACAAGAGGTAAGAAACGAAAACTGCCGTTGCGAAACTGTCGGTTGAAGAAACGCTACAGACCTGTTATTCAGAGATGGTGACCGGTAACCTAAACCCCGGGTTTTGGAGTGGCGTACCACATAAGACCCCGTTGGTTCATACGTGCTATAGAACCGGGTGTCAGCAACGCTGCCTACCACCAAAGTTGGGCGGCGGTGGCGGGGCTCGAACCTCGGGCCATAGGGTCCAAAGCACAGGTGACAGCGATTAAGCCTCTGCGCGACCACCACCCGTGTGGCATTCCAAAGTGAACTTGAGTTCAATTGGTCGACCAATTATAGTAGTGATCAGTACTATTAGCCTTTGCCCAAGTTCATTTCAGGTTGGTGTGTAAAAAATAGTATGTAGCTTCTAGCCAACCGATTGTCCTATTTGTTATGCTAGAGGATGTTTTAACTTCAAATACTGCGTTTGCATTTAAGCTGTCAGGGGACCAGTGTCTCAGTTCCTGATAAAAGCAGACTAGGCCTGAGCCCAGTTGCCCAAAGGTTAAAGACAAGACCTATGGGCCTAGTGTTCTATACCTTTATATATCCGGCACGGGCAAGTTTTACGTAACCTGGTCGACAACGTGTTATTACAGGTCATTGTAGGATTTACGGCGAGTCACAACCGACTGTTCTTTTGATTGGAAATAGTGACCCGTAATAAATTTCAGAACGTTTCGTGGAGTTGCCTACCACCAAAACAAGAATGATAGCAAAAGTTAGTAATGTTGTAATGCATCAAGAGCGATTCGTGATTGTTCCACTGATCGACGCTACAATGCGTGCCGAACAGAGGGTAGAGTATCGCCGCCCTAGATGAGTTTGCAGTCACAACAGTCAATCAGACATTTAAATTGGGAAAAGACAAACATCGTCATCCAACCTTTTCGTAGACACATTGAAACGGACAAACGGTGTCCTTAGCGTAGTCTAAATCAACGCTTTTATCTCCTATTCAGCATTTTGGAGATCACATAGTGCACTCTACAGTAATTAGTCTATGACGAAATTAAACAGGGATGGCGAAATAGGGCACTCTTGACGAACATCACTCCTGGTTTCGAACGGTTTACTTAATCCGCCGTAGACCCCTACGCTACCAGAAGTATGCACCTTGATCGTATCAGGTTTGTATACTTCTACAGTATTCCTTTGAGAAGCAGCGAACCCATGGGGGCTTCGCGGCCAACAGAATCGAGGGCTCCTCTTAGGCCAAGGAACACTGCAGTTGTTTGTTGCTCCTCAAAGGAATGAAGTATGTGAACCTGCGATCTTTGTACGCGCGTGATACATAAACAAGCCTAAAGATGACCGTTTTGCGCTACCTTGTTCTAACTATGACATAGTCGCTGGATATTGCGCTTAGTTTTCACAAATCTAACGTGGCGCAAAAATTTCCCCGTTATACATGTGGATCACTTAATGTTATAAATCAATTCGTATCGGTGGTATGTTTGCCTGCAAGACACTTGAATGATCGTATCTCTGAATCTTAAACCGGTATGCTGTAGACTATTGTTCAACTCGAACTTCGTTGGCCCGCTTCGTAGCCGATTTTTCAGTGAAGTAACGGATAATAGTCGAGGCAGTCCCACAGTGCACATTTCAAACCAAACAACAAGGACCAACAATATCGTTTTCAGAGCTTCGTATTC